TATATAACCCACACGCTGTTCCAAATATGTCTCCTCATTTTTATTATCTGCGCTCAGATCTTTTCCTATTACTTTGTCCTTGTAGACTAATTATGTAATGCCTAAAATGGGTTCATTTTTCATCATTTTGACGGGTGGCTTCATTTCCGCAGATGAGAAGTAACAAAAAGCGTAACAGAGTATTTGTGTGTGTGTGTGTGTGTGTGCTTAGAGTAATCTGTGTGGCCAGAGTCTGGAATGTAGATGATTTGTCTGAGGAATCCAGCATATGGAATTGTTATTACAGATGTGGCTGTGTGAAGTAACCATCCGTCTGAGAGTATATAAATAAAAGCGGCGTTTTCTTTTTCTCTTTCTTGTCAGCCAAATTCATTTGTCACTTTTGTGCCACAGTAATGTCTTCAGCTGTATCAACAGGGAGAGCTACTTTGAGCGCCTTCCATCATTTCCAACCCTCCCTCTCTCTGCCCGTTGCCTCTGTTGATGTTGCTCATCATTAATTTGAGCTAGGCTAATGGCTCTCTGCTAGATAACCATCAATTTAGAGGCTTTGAAATCAATAGCTTGTAGCTAAAGCTTTGCTTGCAGAAGAACCAGCAGGGATAAGACTTTGATGCTGGCTTAGATATGAAAGTGTGTGCGCAGCTGAGCAGATTTCCCCCCCCCAAACCTGATGGAACAAAAGACCAGAAGAAGAAGGCGTTGTGGTGAAAAGGGACTTCCACTGCTTTGCTTCCACTGAATCTTTCAACCAAAAATTATTTCAAGTTTTTTTTTTTTTTGTTTAATATACAGAGACAACTGAAAGTATGCCATTCATAGGTTGATTCTCCAAAGTAGTGTTAAAGACAACATGAAAAAGTACTGTATTTAATTTCTAAAAGGAATATTTCACCCAAAAAATGAAAATGGTGGAAATGTACTCACCCTCAAGCCATCTACAATCGGTTTGTTTCTTAATCGAAACAGATTTGGAGAAATGTAGCATTACATCACTTGCTCACCAGTGGATCCTCTGCAGTGAATGGGTGCCGTCAGAATGAGAGTTCAAACAGCTGATAAAAACAACACAATAATCCACAAGTAATCCACACGACTCCAGTCCATCAGTTAACATCTTGTGAAGAGAAAAGCTGCAATTTTGTAAGAAACAAATCCATCACTAAGGCATCCACAGGTCTACAACTTTAAGCTGTCGCTTTTGGCCAAAAATGCAAGTCCATAATCCATAATAAGGCTTCCTCCAGTGAAAAAGTTGACAACATCCACTGACATATTTGTTTAGAACTGTTTTCGCTTGTAAACGGTACTTGATCTGTGCATATTTCTTTCCTGATTCAGATGAGATGACTTTTTCACTAGAGAAAGCAATATTATGAATAGAGGACTCATATTTTAGCTGGAAGCAATGGATTAATATTAATACGTCTTTATGATTTTTTCGTCTATGATAAAGCAAAATTAAAAATATGTAAAAATCTGGTTTAACTTGTATATCAAATTCTTAGAAATTTCCTATTTGTATTCATGTTGGTTTCAGATGGTTTTGCAATTTTTTTTAATAATATTATAAAATATTATAATTCCAAGAAACGTTTTGTGTTAAAGTTGGCATGAAATGGAAATGAAAATGGAAATTAATCTATTTTCTAAATGCATGTTGAGATTATGTTATTGTGAACATTTCATCCATGTAGCTCATACTTTTTAATCATATAAAAATTGGAATGTATGTCACAAATATGAGAGAAAATATTTGTAGCTACTTCGTCAATCACAACTTTTATTGACTGTAAAAATGCCATGTGGTGTAACCATTAAATAAAAAGTAAAAATATGTTTTTTAATACATGTGCGTGTACACATCTTATTCATTATATTTTATTCAAATTGCAATCCTTTTTTGAGGTAAAAAGTACCATGTACAAATACTATGAATTATTAAGTCATAAATTCCATTTTTGGGGATTTGCACCACATTACATTTTACAGCCTGAACTAACCTTGCCTTGTCAGAACATGGTCAAATGATCTGATATTTTAAGAGACATATTGACCTAGAGACATAAGAGTCATAAGGGTGTGCAGGAGTCTTCTCTGTGAAATAATTTCCTGTTTTATGTTTTTTTGCAAAATTACCAGAAAAAAGGAACATCACGTCATTAACACTAATGCTATCCAATAGCCAAATAGCAATTCAGTTTGCCTTCATTCTGTAATGCCCACTTTTCACCATTCACTTTTTCCCTGCCCTATGTTTTTTTGAGCTGAATATCCTGTTTTACACAGTTCATCAATTTTCATCCAAATCTCTGAACTTTGTTTTCATGGGCAGTTTATTATATGGAAACCACATTGTATTCTATTGCAAAACAATAAAAATAAGCTCAAGTTATAATGGGTGGTGGAATGCGATTGCAATATTTATTTGCAACTGTAACTGCTTTAACTTTATCGTAATGCTGAGTAATTGGCCATTGTAGAGATGGAGGGTGAGAAAACACTGTGACACTTCAGGCTCTGGGGAACTTTGATAAAATAAACAACCCTCTTTCCTCTTCAATGGTGGATGACCCAGGAGAGAGAGAACGACAGAGGAAGAGAGGGAGGGATGGTGGTGCGACAGTATGCATGGGTGGAAAACAGGATGGGTAAAGAGAATGAAAAGACTGCGGAGCAGAAAGAAAAACAGAGCTAAAGAAAAACAAACCCTGACATCATGGAGTAACTTGGAAACTGAATGTAGGTCAAACCCAACCTGGTTTTAATGTTACTGTATTACACATAAGACACTTTTCCAGGCAGATAATCAGATCAGATGACTAAGGCATAAATATATATTTAACAGAAATCTGATCAAAACACCAAACAGTATCCCTTTAATTTCTCTCGTTTGGCCTTTCCATCAAGGCGAAAGAGCACTGGGGCATCCAGCATTTGAGGCAATGTGAAAAACTACTGACTCATGCTTATGAATGTCAGTTCAGAGATTGTTTTATTTATTTATTTTTTGCTCTCTGAAGGTTACCCTGACACATCCATTGTAAATGTCAACATGCAAATCCACATATGAGATTAGCACCACGAGGCAAAGATATGAGGTGGCTGTGTGTCATAGACTCATCCTGTGAGATCACCGCCATATTGTTTTAATTTAGAAAAGCAGGAACACATGTAATGATGCTTACAGTAAAAACCTCCGATTACACAAGGGCTTAAATAAAGGAACTGCCCACACAAACAATATGCCCTTAGTGGGTCAACATAATTTAAACAGAGGTATGGAAATGAAACTCTGTTGACATATAAGACTCCTCGGGAAGATTGTGTGTGAAAGGTTGATTAATTCTGGCACGGATGTGGTTGTCGGTGCCTAATGGCTGTGGGTGGCTGAGCTGCAGAGAAAAGGATTCAGATCATTAGCGAAACCACAGGTCATTTACTGAGCCAACAGTGTGATCTCTATGACACTATTCTTCAATGTTAAAACACCATATCCACAGCTTGTGTCTCCCCGGGCTTCAAATAGCCCAGATGGGGTGGGCCTGGAGAGACGCAGCTCAGGGGGTACAACACATTAGTATCTGCTAGAGCCATTTGCCAAATTGTGCATGTGTTTTCTGGAAATGCAATGATATTTCAGCTGGATGACAGAAACTTTGATATTTAGTTTGTCCATTTTAATCTATTTTAGATCATTATGTAGACAACTTTTGTGGTTTAAATAATTTAAGTCACAAATTCATGGATCTGGTAATGCCAAACAGTTTTGGTTCCCATTGACTTCCATTGTAGTTTTTGTGAAAATCAATGGGAACCGAAATTGTTTGGTTACCAACATGGTTCCACATAAGAAAGGAAGTTCTATAGGGCTGTATCGACAAAAGGGTGAGAAAATAGTGACAGAATTTTTATTTGTGACCCTGGACCATAAAAGTCTTAAGTTGCACGGGTATATTTGTAGCAATAGCCAAAAATACATTGTATGGGTCAAAATTATCGATTTTTCTTTTATGCCAAAAATCATTAGGATATTAAGTAAAGATCATGTTCCATGAAGATATTTTGCAAATTTCCTACCGTAAATATATCAAAACTTCATTTTTGATTAGTAATATGCATTGCTAAGGACTTCATTTGGACAACTTTAAAGGCGATTTTCTCAATATTTAGATTTTTTTTGCACCCTCAGATTCCATAATTTCAAATAGCTGTATCTCGGCCAAATATTGTTCTATCCTAACAAACCATACATCAATGGAAAGCTTATTTATTCAGCTTTCAGATTTCGAAAAATTGACACTTAAGACTGGTTTTGTGGTCCAGGGTCACATTTTTGGGTGAACTCTGCCTGCAAAACCTTCTCATATTATTTTGTGTTCTTTAGATTTTAGACATTAAATTATTGACATTGTTTCCTAACAAAATGTAATAATAATAATAATACATAAAATAATAAATAAAAACAAAACAAAACAAATAAAATAAAATAAATTAAAAATAAAATGAATCATCCCACATGGATGTTTGAGCATTTGATTCTTCCTTTGAGATGTTTCTTTTAGTATTTGATTTGTCATTTGAGTATTGAATTATAGTTTTAATTATGACAGGGTCGTACTGGATTGATAATGACAATGAAATGTCAAACAAAAATTACATTTCATTTTTGTTACAGTTTAAGTTTTTGATTTAACATTTAAGTGGCCGTTTTGAACATTTATATTTAAAATTTTGTTAGAAAAAAAAAATCCATGTTGTTTAAACTCACAATGGCAGCTTGCTACTTGTACCCCCACACACTTCAGTAATCACTTACTTGGTATATCTTTTGCATATTTGTACTTATTTGGTATATCTTCGTATTCTATTCATATCTTGTAACGAGTGGTGTGATTTGTAGTGATTTACATAGCAGTGGGACCTATTTTCAAAAGGAGCGCACTGGCCCTTTAAGGGCTGAGAATCTGCACTTGACGTCCAGCGGACTCTTGCTTTGCCAGCAGCAGCAGTCAGTCACACGGACTCGAGTCACATCTCTGAGCCGTGGAGATTCTCGTTAAGTCGCTTTGTGTATTTACAGCCACGGCTGCGAAAAACGACTAGACAGAATGGCCACGAACTGCTCTTCTCGAATCACAGCCTTTTGTTGATGAGAGGGCGGAAACGCGAGTAAAACAGACAGAAGAGAAAGAAAAACAGACGAGGAGCGCGAGAAGGCCGAACCCATCGAGGGAGCGCGAGAGCAGCCTAGTTTCTCACGCTACAGGCGCTCAAGTGGATTTGCGGCTCAAACCGACGAGGACGAAAACACGACCGTAGCAAACCGTACATGTGGATTATTCGCGGAAATTTCTTAATTTCTTTCTCCTCAGAAACTACATAAACGTCCGGTAACGATAGACCTTCACCTTCCACGGAGAGGTAAGTTATTACAAGACGTTTTGCCAACGAATCTGTCAGTCGTTTATCGGTTTTAATGGTGCCGAGACTTCTCAGAGTCGTTGTCGAAGTAACAGGGCTTTTCTGTGGCTAACGGCCATTATTCCCTCACTGAACCCCTGCTACACTGAATGAGCCTCTCCGAGCAAGGAGGAAATCAACCACTCCGTGAAGACTGGCCGGCTAGTTAGCATAGCTAGCGGTGTTTGTGATTTAACGTTAGACGGAATGCTGTTAAATTACGTCCGACACGTTACGTTATGTATTCAATCAGTTTCTAGCATTATAAACGATGTTTTGCAAAGCACACCGCCTGCCGTTGAGCGTTTTTGAGGGGTCGGCTGTTGAGCTAGCCGAGTTAGCTCGGCTTACGTGTTGTTATATTGTATTGAATGCTTGGCTAGTTCTGTAGTAACGCTGCCGGGTGCAAGCTGAGGATGAGGCTTATAGTTTCAGTCTGTTTTGGAATAATTTAGATTTCATTTATATGTATATATACCATTTGCCTCTTGGCCACAGTTTTTAAATATTTTTTTTTATCAGAAATTGGGACCACTCACTCACTGTCCCTCCCCCCAGCCTCGCAAATGTGTATGCCCCCAGTATATAGATAACATTTAAGGGTTAAAGACCAATAGTGCATGGGAATAGCTTTCAGACTTCAACAGTATGTGGCTTGTTAGCCCATATTTAGAGCTAGAGCTCATGCAGTGTTGTACTGAAACAATTGTTCATGAAACACTAAACAAATCTCTACACTGCTTCACTGTTCTATTGTTTTCATATGAATCAGAGACTCTGGATTCCTTCATTGTACTGTAAATATCACTAGGAAAGTGTTGAGAAGTCTTACAAAAACATGTCGTTTGTGGACCTCCCGCCTCCTTCACAAAGTTCTAACACCTTCATATCCTGCTGATGTTGAGGCTGAAGCTACACTCGTTCACTTTCCATCTCGGATGTTGTTATTAAGGGTCAATAAATCATAGTGGATACCAAATGCTTGTCAACAGCTGTTGATTTGCACATGAAAGGCAGTGGAATGTGAAAAATGGGGGCCACACAGCTTAAGTGTATTAGTGTAATTGGACATGGGCCAGCAGAGGGACTTTTTTTTTTTCTTGTGCAGCATTCTTTCCCACTGTACATTAGAAGAGAACAAAGCACCGTGTCATAAGTGGACCAGTGAGATGCCTGAACCCAAAACAGAACTGGCCTCAGACAACCTCTTTGCTCCGCAGGGCTGCCAGGACTCATGGCCAGAAAACAACAGATTTGTTTTGGACTCACATCAACTCCAGTTCCACCCCTCTGCGCTGCGTATTGAGTAATGATATTCTTTCTCCCTCTTCCCACTGCTCCATGCAGATTGTTGATAAGCATTGAAAAGAAATGAGTTTGCCTTTTAAGCATTGTTTGGTGAAGTGTGGAGCTAGTTTACCACTTTATCTCTGTCTGTTTTCAAAATGCTTTGCACAGACTCTTAATACATGGTGCACAGCAGTTTTGCAGCTGCAAGCTTTATTACAGCCAGCCTTTTCGTTAATTCATGTCAGATGCCTTGTTTCTACTTATATGAACTGCGGAACATGCTTGAGTACTATTCAGAGACAAGATAAGGAGTTGATGGCTTACAAAGAGTTTGTCCTTGACCATTCTTCATTTTGATAAATGAATAGCTAGAGTGGAACATCGAAGGAAATTAACTGTATGCAAAATGCTTTCTGTGTAAGCAGGCTTCTTGGCTTGTCATCATGCCGTCTTTGTATCGACTATGGTGGACTTCTTTGCTGAGTTGGCTGTGTTGCATTGGTTGGGTTTTGCCCCTGCTGCAGTGCTGTCTATATAAGGCTCCAGAAGAACTGCTCCTCCTGCAATCACTGTGTATTGAAAAATGTTGTTCTTTCATAATGGACGAGTGCTTTGTTTTGTGCTATTATAGGTGTTAATCTACATCAGCCTTGTTTATGTAGGCAGTATTTATATATTTTTCATAATTATATATTACACCTAAGATTTTTAAAATGTTTTTGAAAGAAGTTTCTTATGCTCATCAAGGCTGCATTTATTTGATCAAAAATATAGTAAAAACGGTAATATTGTGAAATATTATTACAATTTAAAACAACTCTTTTCTATTTGAGTATATTTTAAAATGTAATTTATTCCTGTGATGGTAAAAGTGAATTCTCAGCAGATATTACGCCAGTCTTCAAGGTATGGTACTTTTTTCCAGGAGTCTTTGAGGAATCGAAAGCTCAAAAGCATTTGTTTGAAATAGAAATCTTTTGTAACATTATACGTGACTTTACTGTCACTTTTGATAAATTTAATGCATCATTGCTGGATAAAAGTATAAATTTATTAAAAGAATAATAATTTGTGGATTATTTACATTGATTCATAGTTGTATGGTAAATACCTTATCTGCTTTTTACCTCCTTTAAATGCAAGAAAGTATTTTTAGATTGCTTAGACTAACAGATAACACCAAATTACACATTATAGTTAATTAGCATCAGTTTGGTGATTTAAAGAACACTTAATTTTAAGTAGGGATGCACCGATACCGATACTGGTATCGGTATCGGGCCCGATACTGAGCTTCTGTACTCGTACTCGTTAAAATTCCCCGATACCAAACGCCGATACCACACAGCATGTGATAAGCGCCATATTCAGACAAAGAAACACCAACAACAGACAGCAGAATGGAGTTAAGGTTGTCTACTACGAAGTATATGTATGCAATTAATATAATGTTAAACATTCAGTATTAACGCCTGTATAGCTGATGTGCGCGAGCTGATAAACAAAGCGCGCTGAGTGGATTGAGCGCGCGGCGGCGCAGATGCGCGAGCTTGTCGAGTGAATATATCTTTCTCACAGACATCACTGGAAAGTTTGTAGTTCGGTCGGATACGTCAAAAACAAGTAAGTAAAACAATGCACAAGTTACTTAACGGTAGAGAGAGAGAGAGAGAAACAGCGAGAGAGAGAGAGCGCGCACTTCTGTTGTGTGATCTTTGATGTTCACTCACTTAGCACGCATCATTTGAATTAAAACGAAATCGTACAAATAAAACCATTCATAGGGGCATTCACTATAAACATCATTTATTTTCAACCTTAGGCATACACGACTTTCTAGCGAAAGTGAATCTAGCAGCCTGTGTGAAATGCGCTAGACTCTACTATTCTGCATCAGTACAAACACGTGCAGGCGTTGCGCGTGTTTTGCTTGCTTGAGTGTTTCTGCATTATATGAGTGGCTTTGGAATATAAATCGCAGCACGTTTCAGATGAAAAAACGCGACTTCTATTTCTGAAAATATCACAGTTAGGAGATTTATAACGAGTGGTTCCCTGCATTATTACAGCAAAGCGCGTGATTACAGTACTAAACCGCTGCTCTAATGCTATTAAATTAAAGATGATGTACCATAGAGCAAAAAAATGAACAGTAAAAGTAACAAAAACTTGTAAAATACATTTTAATGGGCATAATTAAGTGTGAAAATAACCGAAGGATATACAGTGAAACCAAAAATGATTCAGAGACCAGATATAATTTTTGATATTTTTTTACTAGTGGGTGCAGGACACTATAGTTCATTTATGTAAGTGAGGATAGCAAAATAAAGTAAACTGTGACAAATCATACCCAAAAATTCTTCATACAGTGGACTACCAGTAAAATTGATACAAATTTGGGTCCAAAAATTATTCAGACCGAGTCTGGGAAAAAAACTGAAGTTGAGGTTTGCATGAAGCTGGGTGACAGCATGCCCAGGAGACTACAGGCTGTCATTGAGGCTAAGGGTTGCCCGACAAAGTATTCATAGTTGTGTAAATACTGTCATACTAACAGCTGTCTGAATTATTTTGGTTGATTGTAATCTATTACATACCTTTCTATCAGAATTATCTAGCATTATCAAGATGAATTTGTTCTGACACAGTGTAACTCTGAGTTCTTGTCATATTTTATTACCATTTTCTAAACTATAACGAATAAACTGTGATAATGTGAGAAATGTTGAAGGTGTCTGAATAAATTTTGGTTTGACTGTATCTATTTGATAAATGAAGTTAACCAACTAACATTATACATACCCTTTTGGTTTCTGTACCCAATATTTAAAAAATGTACAAATGCAATAAAAATACCGGTATCGGCATCGGTATCGGCAAGTACCAAAAATAAAAGTATCGGTATCGGGCGAGTACTGGAAAAAGTGGTATCGGTGCATCCCTAAAAATAACTAAA